AGGCTTAGTGAGATAATTAGTTAATGCCAATTAGAATCCACTAAACTTTCTAGCAAAATGGACAGGTCAACGAGACTCGAACAACACCATGATTGGCAATTTCCTTGCGGGACCCATATGGATAAAAGAATTCTAGAGATTGTTTGGAAGTATGATATTTCACGCTATTTTGAGATCAATAGATGGTTAGAAAAAAGTCATATCAATAAAGTGAGGACTTTTGAAATAAAGGTTTTAAAATGTTAAATAGGGCAGCTCAAAATATTATATTGTTCGTTAATAATAAGATGCAAACCAAGGATGACGTAACATAGACTCCAAGTTCTTTTCACATTAGTAGTAGTTGTTGTCTAAAATATGAAGTTTATAAGAAACAATTGACATTTTCTGAAAATTATAGACAAGCTTTGTGAGTTGTCAAACAAGAAGGAATAGCATGTTAGGACATCTCCAATGGAGATCCCGAAACAGCATTTTGCACCAAATGATGCAAAGTCAATTTTGCCCTCCTCTTTCATTTTTCAAACAAATTGATTAATGGTATGCGTGTTATATATTTTTCTAATACAACAATTAATAATAATAATAATAATAATAATAATAATAATAATAATAATAATAATAATAATAAAATAGTAATTAATTTCGTTAATTTAATTATTTTAATAGGTTTTAATAATCTAATCAATTATTTTCGTCAATTTAACATAATATCTGAAACAAGTGAATAATTTAGTAATCAATAATAATTCAAATTTTTTGTTAATTAAACATACTTATTTATTTAGTAATTTATGTAGTAGTAAAATAAACAAATAAATAATTTTTCAAATAAATAAATTATTAAGAATTGAAAAATGAAGAAAATGATTTAAGCACAATACATTTGGTGTAATGAGTTGGGATGATTTTTAATTTTGTGCAAGAATTGACGTAAAATAATGCAAAACTTACCTCAAATTTTGATACAACATTGGATATCGCCTTAAAGTAAAGTTCAAATGTGAATTTTACTTATAAATGACTTTTTTGTTTCGAAATATGTATGAATGTATTATTTTTTACTTATAAGTAAATTTTTTATTTCAATGTTACGTAATTTCTTTGCAAAATATGTAAACTCATTTTGAATTTCCCAAATAAAAACAGTTTAAAATTTTTGTTTACTTGTAAGTAAAATTTTCAAGCTTAGCCACACGTGCGTCAGCACCAGCCACCAACTTTGAAATGGGGAAAATGGAAATAGCCAAGTTGGGTCAGGGTGTCGTCATTGATTTGAAGCGTGAACCCAAATGGGCCCCTTGTACATGTGGATTTTTCAGTATGTGTTACTAAGAATCAATTGATTATTCACCTCTAAGTTCAAGAGTAATCTCAAAATCAATGCGTTTTAGGTACATTCCTCGTTTGTATTCATATCTGTTGCATTAGATGCTAAATTGTACGGTTTAATTATTATCATTGTGCGAAGTCCATATGCTTTGGAGTTGGAAGACGTGCAGAAAGCCCATACCTAAATTTCATAAAGGATAATTTAAGAATTTTGCACTTGTAATTTCGATTTTACCTTATTTTTTCTTATAAATAGGAATCCATTGTTTTGATCATTACAAAAAAAAAGGAAAAATTAGATTTTCTCTTGTAATTTTCTTTTTATTTTGGTGAATTATTGCAGCGACGGACAAGTATATGATGTCACGTTGATATGAACGCATTTTTTTTGTGTCTTTATTTCCTTAAGTGATTTTATTACTTCTCAACATGTAATTGCTATATTGATTGATAAAAATTTAATATGAGACATTATTATGTACACGTTATCTTGTTATTACTGAAATATAACGTTTTCTAGTTAGTTAATTAAAAGGTATAGATACTGAAAATATTAATTTTCTCGTTAAACATTAAAAGTATGTTTGATCCACATTATTTGGAAGAATGTATTTTGGAATAGTAGATTGATGGAGAATGTGCGGTTGGAAAAAAATGAAAAGTTATTGATGTGATGGAAAATATTATTTTATTGAAAAATGTGTGGTTGAAAATGAGTAGAAGAATGAGAATGAAAATTTCAATATGGCTCAAACATGAACTAATTGGAAAAGTCTGAAGAGCTTTGATAATAACATTTATTTCGATGAGAATTGATTTTTTTTAATTATCCGATTCTTAGAAATTTTACATAGAAATTTACGAACATAAAATTGAAGAATCTGATGACGCGCCTTGTCTAAATTTATAAATATACTGTGGAAATTAGAATACACGCCTTTTTTCTTATTATTAAAGTGTAATTGATAGTGAAAGGGATTTTTTTATTTTTTATTTTGTAAACTGTTCATTCATATATGAGGCTGTCGTCGCCTTTGCGGCTGTCGTCGTTGATGCTGTCTCCGTAGGCGAGTGTTCCTCAACAAAAACCAGTTTTCTTTGCTTAATTTTCTAGACTCTCCTCCATCTCCCTTGCTCAATTGCTCTATTTCATCGTCCCCTTCTTCTTCGCTGCCCTCTCCTTTCCTTCCCTTCCCTTCCTCCCTTCATTTTCCTTGTCGAATCTCATTAAGAATGTTTAATTCTGTCTGGGATTCGTAAGAAACATTTCTTATGTGGTGAAAATGATGCTGTACAATTGCTCTGGAGTTTTTGCAAACATCTTTTTTGATAAAATTCCTGAATAGTTAATGGAATCAGTTCTTCCTCTTGTCACGCTACTTCGGAATGAGACTGGTCATTCCATTGATTTTTCAATTGAAGAAAGCAGTTGCCCGATTCCTAGCATGGGGCCCGGCGGACGGCGGCGGGTTAATTTGTCTCAAATCGTCAACATTTGTCGCCGTCGCCAATCGACAAGCTGGCTGATTAAGGTTCTGATCAACCAGAAGTTGACAGGGATGACACTGGAACCTGGAAACTTCTTCAAGCATGTGCAGATTTTGTTCAAATTTCGGATAAATGAAAAAGGAAAGCTTATACTCATCGCTGAAGGAATCAAGGAAAAGAATATTGACAGAATTCTCCGTCTCAGGTTCTTTCTATGAGTCCTGGGTTCTATGAGTTGAATCAGTTGATTATTGTTTTTACCATAATTATTTAGTTGACTTATATCGGTTTTTACCATAATTATTATTCTTGTTAATTTTTTTTTTTTTGTTCGATTTACAGTAGTATTGGATTTTTGTTGGGAAGGAATATCATTTGGAGTAGAAGAAAATATGTGCTAATTGCATATGCACCTGTGGAATCTCCAATGAATATGCAGCAAATGAGGTACCAGACCCATTTGTTTCTGATTAAAATCAGATTTTAATTTAAATCAAAGTTAAATAATTAATATTAACCACATTTTTCATGGATTTCACGAAATTTCAATCATACATTTTAAAATTTTTTATCACAATCTACTAAAAATCTAATTTTTTCTATATCACATTTTTCAACAATTGGGTAGTTTTTTTGTTTTTTTTCCCTTGGTACTTACGAGTTAAGCCCGAAAATTTACTGACTACACAGAAGGACAGCAAAGCACTGACAGCCCCAGAATCCCAGCAGATAGAAAGAAGCTAAAGACAGATTAAAGAAATGGTATTTTTGGTTAAAGGCTAATTAGCATAAAACGTCTCTACCTTTGTGGTTGATTTTGAAAACTGTTCCTACCTTTCATTTCTTGACATTTATACCATTACCTATCACTTTTCGTGCACTGAACGTCCTTTTCACCATATTTTGACTATTTTACCCTCCATTCAATTGAAACAAAAAGAAAAGAAAAGAAAAATAATTGAACAAATTGCAACTATTGGCTTAAACGTTTTAAAAAGTGCAAATAACCCACCAAACTTCACATTCTCCCCGAAACTCGCCCCCACCCTATCGTCGCTTGCCAACCATTTTCAGGCCACCGTATCCACCGGATTTTTGCACCAACACCATCTCCTCGAAAATAGTTAAAAATACGTTAAAAATATGAAAATAGATATCGAAAATAGTTAAAAATACGTTAAACGTGTCTTAACGAAAGACGTCTAACTCGCATTTTTTTAAAAAAAAATTCAATTATTTCAATAACATTTATTATTTTTGCGATGCAAATTTCTTAATCTAATTTTCATCATTTTATTAAGAAATTTTATATAAATATGACATCAAAATTTTTTGAAATTTTACATTCGAAAAAGTCATATCCCATATAAATTTTCGGATGCAAAATTATAAGGGGTATGATTTTTTTGAACGTAAATTTTCGATTGTAAAATCTCTCTCAACTTCTTTCCTAGTTCGATTTACCCCCCTAACTTTAAACTTCTGCGTCCGTCCCTGATATATACTATTCTCCAATCTTCCACGTAAAAACTTATGGGAGTTGTCAAACTTTGTGTCAAGTTCTTAGCCCGACAAACTGGAAACAATGATGCTTCAATTAATGATTTGTGTTCAGAATTAGTTAACAGAGTCGGAATGACTGAGTTGATTGAAACGAAAGTATAAATTACAAGAGGATGCAGATTTTCGGTGTAATGACATATCCAAGCTTTGTAGATGTTCCAAGCTATATATGTTTAATGAATCATTTTGACAAAATAAACATCAAGAAAGTCCTCAAACTGAGAGCGACGATTTTGTGAAGCTCATAGAAGTAAATCCATCAAATAGGTACTCATTTTGTTTTTTTTATTCTTTTTGCTGACGTTATTTATTTATTTATGGACCATATTATGACTTTCTTTCATTTCCTGCTGCATAGGGCTCCGCCATTGCCTCTCTCTTATAACTAATGAATTCTTGTCAAAACACTTCGTGCAAACTGTAGGGAGGAAAATGGTTTGCGCCTGGATAACGATAGAGATGCTTTTATTCAGAGCAACAAAGTGGTGTCACCAGAGAGGTAACATTTTTCACTTTCAATAGTGAAATAAAAAAATCATTTCTATGTTTTTTTATTTCCATTGTTGACAAATTGGGATTCCAGAAATGTACTCCGGAAAATTTTAAAAAATTGAAATTGAGAAGAGTAAGAGAATGGAAACATCAACATCAATTGCCAATTTTCTCTTCTAGTTCTTGAGAGTGTCATTCTTAGCAAGTGTTTGAGACCAGATCATAACTTCATTTGCCCACTAAAACATTCTTGTATGTAAGTAGAATAATGGTATAACATCTTTGTTGAAGGATTTTTTTTATTTCCTTTCACTGGATTTTCATTACACACAGTTGTAGGTCGAACAAAGTGGTGAAAAACGATTATTTTACCCAATCTCCAATTTTCGAGAACAAGGCTTATTTGAGTTTTTTGTCCATAAAATTTCACTGAGGCAGAAAAAAGCACAATGGAAAATATACGAGTGATAGGTTTGCCCTTTGCACTGCCATAAGGTACTTGTCTGTACTAATATCTGTCCATGGCTGCCTATTCATGTCTGACAAAAATGTGCTTGTGCTTGCTGAAGCGCAAAGCACAGCAAGGGGCATCAGGTATGTTTTTTTCTTGAAGTATATGCTTGAAATACATCTCGCTTTTATAAAACTATTTGCTTAATTTTTAGTGCTTTTCATCGGAACAACTGCTTTTGCTTTTGTCTGTTATATAGTAGCTGCTGAAATTGGATACTTTCTAAAATACTTGTAAAATCTTAATCTGAAATTCCTCTGAGGTGCCACTGGTATAATCTGAAATTCCCTATGGTATGCAGAGTTGCACTTCAGCACTGCATACTAGTCATCCCCTTAGTTAATGCTCATTTTGCTCAACCTAGTGGTGTAATTAACGCAGGAAGACAACCGCCACTTATACACCATTGGATAGATCCAAACACGATACATTCGAGACCAAAATGTTAAATTCAAGTCAAATGGAACCCCTCGAGAGAGAGGGAAATGGTCCAGATTTTCACCACCACCACCATCACTACCAGCAGCAGTTTACAGAGCACATGGAATATGAGAATGATCATCTGCCTCACTCATCCCACATTCCAAACAAGGACACCACCGACCACATCTTTCTAATCGTGTTTGCTATACTACTTGTCGGTTTTGTTCATATCCTGCTACTGGGATTCAAATTTACTCATTAATGGTGTGCTATGTACTGTTAAGGATTTGTTGTTATATTATTGTATAATTCTATATTTTGTTGTAATCTTGTAATACAGAGTGTTGCCAAATGCCATATCCCTTGCTGGGACTCTTGTATGGTAAACTATACTTGTATTGTATGTGGGTATTGTATAAACTAAACTCTACAATAATGAAATAAAGCTAAATTCCCATGTGTTCTTTACTAGCATGTTTGGTTGCATTCTCGATAGGACTTGACAATATTATGAAGAGAAGTTAGAGCTTTCACTTAGTGGATGAGCACCTGTGAATTTTTCTTAAGATATTTTAACATTTTGCAGCGTTAAAATATAAATAAATCTAATAATATTAATAATTAATATTTTTATTTATTTCACTCATATCAAACTTGAAAGGTTTATTGGTGCAAAATCCCCTTGATATTTGTCCCTATTTGCGCAATACCCATCTATTCTTTCAAATTGGCAAAAAATCCCATATATTTGACATTTGAGGTGCAAAACAGTTCCTACTCCAATTCCATTAGATTAGGCTAAAAATAGTATAAATGACCAAAATTAAATAGAAACAATTGCAGCAACGATTCTAAACTTTTCATTTTTATAGATTATACCAAAACTTTTTATTTATGTCGCCCACAATTCCAAACTTTTAAGACTTCATATTATTTACCAATTTTATAGGATAAAACGGTAATTTTATATAGAAAAATCCCCACCCACCCCCACTCTCCATTTGTGAAAGCCAATCAGATTCAATCAAGAATCTAAAACCCAAACAATCACTACAGGGAAAAGAAGAAGAATTAAGGGGGACTTATAAACCAAATATATAGAACAAAAATCTATCAGCCTTACATCCAAAATCGTGCTAAGAATTAAGAACCAGGAACCATCAAAATTTCCTTTCAAAGATTTTGCCACTGTTTGTGAAGATTAAAATCAAATTTTCAGTAATAAAAGTTGTTGAAATGTATGGTTGAAAAGTTGTTGAACTCATGAAATATGTGATTAAAATTGATTATTGACTTTGACTTATATTAAAATTTGAATTTTAATTAGTATCAAACAAGGTATCTTTGAATCAATTTAAGTCAGTCAGATTCAATCTTCACAGGCAAAAAATAGATTTTTAACAATTATAATCAAGAGAATTGAAGTCCCAATATTTAATTCAAAACTGAACCCAAAAAAGAAAAGAAAAAAAAACAAAAACAAATTTGTGAGCCAAGGAGATGAAAATATCAGATGGGTAGAGAGGGGCATCAATTCTTGTAGAGGAAGTGCAAATTATTTTTCAAAATAAAATGGAAAGTATTAAGTTAGACGTTGAGATTTGGACCGACAATGGGAGTTAAAAAAATGAAAGCTTACTTTTACAATAAAAATGTGTTAAAGTTCTTGATGAATCTTGGGCTGCTGATTTTGATGCAACCAAGAAAACTGATCAAATATTTAATTTATTTGATAGTGTCATTAGAGAGATTGGTAAAACTAAGACTGCAACAAAATTGTGGAAGAAATTGGAAAGTATATATTAAACTAAAACACTCCGAAATAAATGTTACTTATGTAGACAATTTTTCAATTTCAAATTTAATTCCAATGTTTACCTTGAGACAAAATTGGACACATTTAACATATGGTCCTTGAATTTCTAGTGGGGAAACTATCTCAAATGATCAAGAGTCTGTAGCCTTATTGAATTCTTTATATGAAAAATATAAGAATTTGAAATATGCTCTTGAATATGAATTGTTTCATATTCGAATGAATTTGTTAGTTTCAAAGGGAGTAGCGTCACAATATCAATGGAAGCAGTAGTATATAACTGTGATCACAATGGACCTACAAGGAGTGCCCACTTTTTTACTGTTCATTTCTATTTGTTTATGTTTATAAAACCCTTATCATTATTTGTATTGGTCAATGACATAATAAAAACTCTATTATCACTGACGGTAGAAGGGTTGGAGGCGGCTATGTGCTTTGATGACATTGAGGGTGAGAATGATGTAACATAATGGCTTTGGAGTCCATTCGAGGAAAGATGAAGACAAGAAAATGACACCGGAGAGATGCAAAGGAAGAACATATAGAACTAAACCATTACGAAAGTCAAAAGGCAAATATTGTGTTAAATGTAAATATGGACTTGTGATTGGAGTTCAAAATGCATATATTAGTAAACAGCTAAGAATATTGGAATTATAATAGTGTTGAAAGGAAAACTATTAGGCCATGTTTGATTACCACATTTTTCATGAAAAATGTCATATTTGAGGAAAACGAATTTCACTTTAATCGTTTGATTGCAACGCGGAAATTAAAACTGAATTCTAAAGTACAACCACTTTAAATTGCAATTTCTTTGTTTTCATGAAAAACAAATTCCTATGGGTTTTGTTAGTTTTTATTTTCCAACTAATATGTAATTGAAATTCCTTTCCACGTTTGTCTATCAAACGTACCCTTAGTTTTTCTGCTCCTTTTTAAGTCTTTAATAGCCGCTGCGGAGTCTCAACGTACCGATAACGAGTATTTTTTTAAAATACTGATTTTGAACGTTTATGAGGGAATGAGTTATAAGTGATTTTAGTAGCAATTTTTAAAACAGTCCAACTCATGCTTGAGAGTTTATTATCTACCAATTCTGAAAGTTTTTTAAAAAGGTAAAGTTAAATATATATCCCTTAGTGAAATTTTGAGTTTATGATTTCTTGTATAATTTTTTTTACTTATAAGTGATATTTTACACATATATAATTTTTAAATATAAGTTAATATTTACCTTAAAAATTTAAATAAAGTTAAATATTTACTTAAAATTTTATGTTATTAGTTCTAAGTTATATATAAACTTTATAAATATAAGTTAATTTTGTACTTTTAAATAATTTGAACACATAAGCAAAATGTTTACTTATAAGTAACTTTTTATTCTTCATAAATATTTTTTGTCTTATTAATTTTTTATCTTATAAGTAAAATAAGTAATTTTTAAATTATAATATAAATTTTTTTGCTTATAAATATATTTTTTTAGTTAGTATATATTTATCCATAAGTTAGTATTAAACAAAATATGTTTAATGGAATAATTATTTTGGTATTAAACAAAGTATGTTTATTGGAATAATTATTTTATTAAGGGTAAAATTAAAAGAGAGTTAAGAAACAACAAAAAGTCATTTATTTAATAGGTTGAGGGAACCGATCAAAATAATATTATACATTTTTTGGGTGATTTTTAAAATATCCAAAATCGGTGTCCAAAAATTCTAGTAAGTATCGGTTCTTCCAATCCCCCAAAATTGCTCAAAACCAGTGAAAATAAAACTCTCAAGCAGGCTCTAAAGATTGTTTACTTCGGCCTGTTTTTCTTTCTTTTTTGGGATGGAAATAATTTATCTTTTTTTATGTTTCTTTTCCAACTTGTGTAATCTTTCAGGATAAATAAAAAGTACAAATGATACATGAACTTTCAAGTGCGCTTTTTGTAGGTGTCCAAACTTTAAATTTTTTCTAATACATACTCAAACTTTAAAATATATTTCTCATCCATATCTAATTTAACTTGACATCTCGTACAATATCCAAACTTCTATTTTTCCATAATCAATACCCGACTTCTAAATATGTTCCCCATCCATACCTAATATAATCGTTCACTTGAATCCTATTTGAAAATTTACGGCATTAACCCCTATAGCAACAAAATGAATAACATTACATGAAATTCTAAAAATCACGCTCTATGTACAGCAATTCCAATCCAACCCTAACCCGCTTGTATTAATAATTTTTCGTAGAATCATTCTTCTTCCCAATATCAATGGTACTAATTCACTCTAAAATGTCAATTGTATGTTGGTTCATATATTCTCACATCCTCTTTCAACCCCATTTAGTGTTGGAACATGAATTATATTTTGTTAATTAAAGACACATACATGCAAATACAAGAGTAACAACTTATTGAATCATAGTGCATGCATAATAATGAGCAAATCACTACTTACTCAAACGTAGAAAATGCAAAAATCGAAGGAGATAAAATAAAGCGAGGTATGCAAATGCAAATCTCCTTAAGACGAATTTCGGCTCCTGCATTGGTGCTAATAGTATCAAATGGATGTCCATCTCCCAACTCACAACGCTTCTTCCAAAATTAATATAGCACACCATTAATTTTGCCGATCAAACCAAAAGTATAGACAATATTCTTGAACGAAATTTTATTACTGAAAACAATTCGAACATAATTTTACTTTAGCAAAATAAAATGAATGGAATTTTTGAAGAGATAAGGGAATTTGAAATCAATAATAATCTAAATTGATTTGATGTAGAAAAAAATGAAACCAAATGTCTCTATTTATATATTTTCAAGTGACTTGTTGAAAATAGACCACACTTTTTCATATTAAATGATGTAGTATGCACATTCTCATTGAAATGTTGTATCTCTTAACATAGATCACACATTTAAACATTAAAATGGTGTAGTATACACCTTTTCATCATGCACCTTTTAAATAGTTACACCAATTCTAAGCAACATGACTCTTTACAATTGAAGAGACACCTATTGGATACATATTTCAATTCACACTATAAATAATTCCAATTATTTCAAAAATCCTCTACATGAATGGAAGTAGTCGACTACGTCCAAGGAAGATGAATAAGAGTATTACTAAGAAATAATATATTGGACTCACTTAGCTAATTAGTGAACATAACATTTTGAACGTCGGCTGTTATTGAAGCCTAGATAATAGCTCAAACACATTATTTTTCGAACTTCCAAAGTGATGAAGACTATCGCAAGTCTACATCAGTATCGTGTTTACACTTGATGGATGAGGCCATTGTTTACAGAAGTATCAAGTAATCATGCATTGTTGATTCCACCATTGATGCCAAGTATTAGTAGCTCGTGAAGTTACTAAATTGGTTGTATGACTCAGAAAATCCTAACGGATATTGAGGTG